CTTGAGCCCATTATCACATGTCCTGTACTCTTGGATGATTGAGAACAGATCCTGCTCCTCCTGTGGATGACAATCTTTCAAGTATTTGAGAAGTGCTATCATATTTCCACTCAGTCTTCTTTTCTTAAGGCTGAACATGCCCAGTTCTTTCAGTCTTTTCTCATAGAGCTTTCCAGCCCCATTAGCATCCTTGTTGCTCTCCTCTGAACTTGTAGGCATATTTCTTAACTTTCCCGCCCCATGAGCCTCCTTGTTGCCCTCCTCTGAACTTGTAGGCATATTTCTTAAATTGTGGTGTCCAGAACTGGACACAGTACTCAAGATTAGGCCTAACTAATGCCAAATAGAGGAGAATTAATACTTTATAGGATTTGGAGAGTATATTTCTGTTAATGCTGCCTAAAACAGCATTTGCATTTTTTGCAGCTGCGTCACACTATTGGTTCATATTCAACTGGTGATCTACAATAATTCCAAAGTCCTTATTGCATGTAGTCTTACTGATTCATCTTGTAACTGTGCATTCATTTTCTTTTCCCTTGGTGTATAACTTTGCACTTATCCTTGTTGAATTTCATTCTGTTGTTTTCAGCTGAGTACTCGTGTTCCTGGTCACGTGCCAAACATCTGACAGGAGCACAGTGAGCAGTCTGAACAAGGACTCATTAAGAAGCAAATGCTGTAAGCCGCCCAGAGACCTTCGGGTTCCAAACTTAGGTCCCCAGATGTTCTTGAACCAAAACTGCCAGAACCCTTTCCAGCATCATCTGTGCAAGGAATCATTAGCAACACCCATCAGATTGCATGGTGCTTCACTAGCGTTCAGCAACTACTTGAGTTGCTTCTCTGAATAGATTGTCTCTAAACTAGAGGGAGGAGGAATCTTTCGTGTTAGCCAGGAGATGGCATGTCCATTGCTACTAATGTGCACTAGTTATGCAAGAGAGCTATCCCCTTCCAGCATCATCTGTGCAAGGAATCATTAGCAACACCCATCAGATTGCATGGTGCTTCACTAGCGTTCAGCAACTACTTGAGTTGCTTCTCTGAATAGATTGTCTCTAAACTAGAGGGAGGAGGAATCTTTCGTGTTAGCCAGGAGATGGCATGTCCATTGCTACTAATGTGCACTAGTTATGCAAGAGAGCTATTACTTGGAAAGTCAGTTTAGTTTATGTAATTTTGAAGATCGTACCATGAAGCTTTTCTTATTGATGATAACCAAAATTCTGATTCTGGAAAAGCTAAATTCTATAGGCACTGTGTTTTATGCAAATCCTATTTTATTAAATACAGTCATTGTTTAGCATTAACTTATTCTGCTTGGTGACAGAGAGATACAGCAACTATGAGGCTGCTGTGGGGCTGCCTCTGGGACCTGCCTAGCATGCTCAGGGTGTAGTGTTTCAGTTCTCTTGTTGCCAGGAAGAATGGCCAGGCAGCTCTTTATACAAACTGAAGACGAACTGCAGCTCAGTGGTAGAGTGAAGAATGTAGGAAAGGTACTGTTTTGGACTACAGTCCAGAATGTCTTAGCCGGACTAGCAAAGGAGTTCTGAGAGTAGATGTTCAAAAACAGAACTTTTAAAATTCTGGTAGAGCATGTGTTGTATGCAGAAGCAAAGCAAAGGCAAAGCGTGCTGCTTATATACTGTCCCATAGTGCTTACAGCACTCTCTGGGCAGTTTACAATTTAATTATGCAGGCTACACATTGCCCCTCCCGCCACCCAGTAAGCTGGTTATTCAATTTACTTACCTCAGAAAGATGGAAGGCTGAGTGAACCTCAAGGTGGCTACCTGGGACTGAACCTAGGTCATGAGCAGAGTTTTGGCTGCAATACTGCACTTTAACTACTGCTCCACAAGGCTATTCAGGCTCAGTCCTTGACCTTTCTAAACAGAAGAATCAAATAGCAGTATTAAGAATGACCAAGTCCCTCAAAAGTTACTGTCAGTCAAAGCAGATGACAGTGATCTCCAAAGGGTGTAACTTGGCATAAAGCAACTGCCTTGTCTATACAAAGCCCTGGGTACAGGGAGAGGCTATTCACTTTTGTTCACGTCTTGAATGTATGACAAATCACAACTATGGGAAATTATCATCCTGGTTCCCTACCACCACCAAAATCTAAGAATTAGAGAATGAAGATGTACTTTTGGTCTATAAATAATTAGATTTAAACTTAGTGTACTACATAACCCTTTTCACCCAAACCGTCATCCTACAAATCTCATTATTTCAATTTCCCCTGCATTCCTTGAATTAGTGAAAGCCTCTGGAAATGCTCAGAAATCTGACTTCTGACTGAATGAGAACATTATGTGTCCTGCAGGCCATTCAAGGGAGCAGGGCAGAAGAAAAACTGTACTGTGTATAGAAAGAGGGGGACACAGCCCAGTTTGCAAAAGGCAAGCAGAAACGCCTGACACGAGAAAGCAAGGAGAAAATAGAATACAGCACATAGAGACAACAAAGGAGGAAATCAAGCTCGTATGATTTTAGAAGAGATAAAGAAAACACATGGAAGCAGAATAACAAGCCCTCAAAAGAGGCTGATATGTCGGGAAGCACAAGCAGAGTCCCCACCATGGTAAGGAACAGAAATGTTCGGAACCTTGTCCTTTGAATTTGTAACTGCTGATTAAAGTCTGAAAGAAGAAAGCCACTCATTCATTCTAATTGTAGGGTCAGAATGGAGGATTCTTCAGCAAACACTTGGCAGAACAAACCTGTAAACGGCAAGGCAAATGGTGATGATGTAGGAGGGGGGTGTCGAAAGAGAGGTTCAAAGCATTATTCAGTTTGAAGGATGCTAGCTTGTAAAGTAATGCCATTATTCATAAAAAGAAAATAGTATGATCTGAACTTGGGAGAATTTTTTTGAAGTGATGTAATGTTATTGGACTGCAATTCCCTGAATCTTCCAGCTAGCATGGCCACTGGTTTTAGAAACTGTCTTCTTCATTTTGAAAATGAGAGATTCTGGCAGTCCTGATCCTTCCACCTTTGCCCAGATATGCAGGGCTTGATTAGGAACACAGGATGTAATTTCTCATTGAATGAAAGTCTTAGTGCATGCAGTGGATAGATTCTAGCCCACTTTTTTTTTTTAAAAAAAATGTCTTTTTGCAGCTGTGCTTAGTTATAAAAGAACACAAAAACAGTAAAAGCATGTAAATAGCCAAAAGGGGGGGGGGGAATACCACCAAATAAAAGGCTAGAAACAAGTTATCCAGATTTTTAAATGGCAATGGCAGGAACAGATGGACAGTAATAATCGTTCCATAAAGGAGGGAAAATATAAAGCCCCAGAGATTGCTTCTCCACCACTAAAAAATAAAATAAAATTGTAAGCTTCCATGAGGGATGTCCATGTATCCAAGCAGGTATTCGTGTGAAGTTGTCATCTAGATGCCAGGCATTCAAATGATGAAAGAATTAGAAGGTCCCTCAGTCCTTTAATTAATTCTAGTCCACAGTTGTTGGCAGTGGCAGGGAGCAAAGACGTCAGCAATTGATGCAGGATCCTTCTACATGCAAAATATGTGGTTAACGAATCAACAGCAGCAGCAGTACATTCTCTGATGTTACCCGTGGTGACTTGGAAAATTTCTGCCTGTACATGTTCAGAAACACCAGACCATAAATTCAAATATCTCCCAAACTGGGCCAGAACTTGGAAATGTTACCCTTTGGGTTATAACTCTCAGAATCCCTCAGCAAATAGTAAGAAAAACGAATACGTATTTCCAAGTTCTCGGGTGAGCTTTATTTGTTCCTTACTTGCATTTTTATCTTTTCTTTTAGTGAGCTGAAGCTCCCCGCCTTCCTCACTGTATCCTCAAAACAATCCTGGAAGGTAGGTTAGCAAGGGGTCCAAGATCACCCAACGTGTTTCCTGGCTCAGTGGGGACCAGAACCTGGATCTCCCCAATCCCATTTCAGCGCTCTTAACCACCAGCCCACACTGACTCTGGAGAGGGATGTTTGAGGGCTGAGGAGAAACAAATAACTCAGTGTTGAACAACAGTTGCTTTGCTCATCAACACCGTCAGTTTACACATAGGGAACGTTGAGGGTGGGAGAGATGCCTGAAAGTGTGGAGACAAGGTTATGGCCTGATCCAGCAATGTTCTCCTCAAACTCCTCCGTAAAGTACATAAAATAATGCCAGCGCTAGTCGCCCTTGCTGGGCATGGAGGGGGGGGGGCTGTTGTTACGACCAGTGTGGAAAAGCTCCCTTTTTGTTACCCCTCGCACATAGGGAACTTTGAGGGTGGCTGGGGGATTCTAGGAGTTGTGAACCAAAACAACACCAACACACACAGAGAGAGAGAGAGAGATTGAGAGATTGAGAGAGAGAGAGCGCGTTTCCAGCTGTGATGATGCTCACGGCCAAAGCAGCTGCCCTCCCTCTTGGTGCTCCTGGCTGAATCGAGGTACGCGCAAAGACATTTCACTTATGAGGGAAAAGAAAAAGCTCACCGGTCATTATAAAGGGCTACCCCGTGCCATCCTCTCCCCTCGCCTCTCATTCCCAAGGGGACCAGTCTTAACCACAAGCACAGACGCGTTTCAAAATCAATCCATGTCTTCCCTCCATCGAGGCTGGAAACGTTTAGGCTCCACCACTGCCCGTGGGGCCCGATCCAGCCGCTGCCTGTTTAACGAAGAGGAGACCCACGCGCAAGAACCTGATGCCGCTCCAAGGCAGGCGAAAGGTGGGTTCAGACGCACAGGAGTCGGTCGGGGCAAATTATCAGCCTTCCCTGCACGTAACCCTGCACCCCCTTCCGTTTTGTTGTTGTTGTTGTTTCATGGCACCTGTTCCCATCAGACTCATTGCTCTGAACCAACTGACAAGGCGAGGCATCGTTATCTTCCTCGCACTCAAGAGAGAACTGATGTCTAGCATCCGGCATCCTTCTCGGTTGCCGTGCGGTTCAGCTCCCCCGACGCCCCACCGTGGCGGGCTTCCCTCTCCGGCCCCTACTCACCATGTCCCGGGGCAGGAGGATTTCTGCTTTCACCCCATAACTTGCCGTCGCCTTCTCCGCTTTGAGCCCCGCCGCCGGCTGCTGGACGCCGATTTTCACCATGGCTGCGAAGCGACACCACTTTCCCGAGCTCGCTCTGCGCCTCCTCTAGGCTCCCGGTTGTACCGCCGCTTTGGCCAACCTGACGCCTCCCCCCGCGCCGCCCCACACGCTCCCCTCGCCCGGAGACAGCGCCGGAAGGGAGTTTGGCAGCGGCGCCCGATCTCTTTTCCTTTCCTTTCCCTTCCTCTCCTTCGCCCACCGGGAGGAGACGGGGCGCACCTCCGCCTCTTCTGGGTCCTTCCCCCGACGCGCAGAGAGACGGGCTGCGTGGGCGGGCGTTGATCGGGCACCACCCGTGCGCTCTGCCCATGCTCAGACGAAATCCTTCTTCCCTAGTGTTTCAGTGACAGCCAGTGCGGTGCGGTGGGTAGATTGTCGGACTCGGGGTTGGCAGACCTGAGTTCAAAGGCCGACCTGGCTATGCACTTTCACCTTGAAAATCTTATTAGGGTCACTGTGAGCTGGAAGGGATTTGATGGCACAAAAACAGGGTATTTGAGTAGATCTCTGAGCAGGTGTGTGACCTGTGGCAGATGTTTGGCCAGAGAAACAAGTAATGGGGTGCAGATGTTCAGCGGCATTCTCATTCTTTGGATAATTCCTTACTATTTTCGAAGGTGGAATTACTCACCTTGTTCCTGGTATCCATGCATTTTTTTCTCTTCCTTCTTATTTGCAGCTACTTTTTAGCAGAGAAAAAGCACCCTTAAAACAAACCAAAGGCCCATCTAGTTCCATATCTTCGTTCTTTCCCATGTTGACAACCCCAATGGATTTCCAGGAAGTTTGCACAAAGGAAATGAAAAAGTGCATACAGACAAAGAATGGGGGAAATTTTATTTTTCTCAACTACGGTTCCCAGAATCTGTCCACACGGCTAGTGGCTCTCCTGGTATTCTGTGGCATATGAATATTTATTGTTTGAATGTGGGCATTCCCTTTAAATATCTTAACCTCATTTTTTTTTCCAAGTAAGAAGAAGTAATAACAGTGAGGTAAAGCCTGGGTACACAGTTCTCCTCACTTTTTCTTGCACAAACCTTTTAAAGTAGGTCTTGCTGAGAGAAAGTGACTGGACAGGGTTAGGGTCACCTAAGTGACAGGCATGGCTCTGTGGAGATTTGAACCTCTGCTTGCTGAGGTATTTTGAGAGCTGTAACCCCTCCCCCCCATTAACCTTTTTTGGTTGGTCTGATACAGTATATGGCAGCTTCTTACATTTTCTGTTAGATCTGCAGCCTCATCCTGTATCTACACATCTACTTAGAAGTAGGTTCCATTGAGTTCAGTGTACCTTTCTTTTGGGGAACTAGACACAGCAATGTATTTCTTCTTTCCTGAGAGTAAGACCCATTTAATTCAGTGAAACTTCACTTCTGAGCAGGCATGTACAGATAGATGTTTATTTTCCTCTCTCATTGCCACTAGATACATCTCAGTTCTGTCTCAGCGATATGAAAGAGGAAGAAATTATCTTTATAATGCTAAGGAAGTATTATTTTGGAAACAAAACTAAACACAATATAACGGCTATTCGTCTTTCCAGTCATGAGCTGATGGTTTTGATAAAAACAGAAATGAAGAAGTTCAACTGCCACCAGTATTATTGACATTTTTAGTGCTCCAATACATGTCAGTTTCTCCCCAGCTTCTGTTGCTAGAAGAAAAACGATAGTAGGCTCCCCATGGAGCATAAGACATGTGCTACCTGGCAGTGTCTGAAGTCCTATTGCTTAGAGTAGTAAGTTGCACTAAAGTAGGCCTATTGAATCAGTGGGGATTTGGAGAATGAATTCCTCTGTCAGTTCCATTGATTAAATGGGCCTGCTCTAGTTGTGTGTTACTACACTAAGCAACAGGATTCCAGCCAATATCAACCTAAGTTTCTTTTTCATTCCCTTTAGCATATAGAAGCAGATGCTTTTGTAAACTCTTTATGGTACCGTAACCTCCCAAAACTTATCTCAGCCAATCAATAAGAAAGCAAGTTTTAATTGACAGGTAAAAAGAATACATCCCAAGAGTTGGGTGAAATCTGTATAAAGATATCTCTGCAGTTTTATACACATCAGGGACCAAGCCTCAAGGAGCACAACGAGAATTTGTTATATGCCATCAAGTCAGAACCAACATATAGTAACCCTAATAGGAATTTCAAGGTAAGAGAGATGTTTAAGGAGTGGTTTTACCAGTTCCACACCCCACCCCCACCCCGTGGAACTGGTAAAACCAGGGATTTGAACCAGGCCTCCTGACCCTTAATCTGTCACTCAATCCATTGGGTATCCTACAGTGACAATTGCCTTAGAAGAATCACACATAGAATTGTACTTCCAATACAGTTAGTCAAGAGAAAAGACAGAACATAATAAATAAAGCTAAACAAAGCTGAACAAATAAGCTTAAATGATGCCCAAGCTGATTTCATGATTTAATGGGGAATGTTGCTTTAAACATCCCCTGTGAACTGTATTCATCTGCTTGCTTCAAAATCTAGCTGATGAGTAATTCAGCCCTCATGTTACTATAGCAGCCAGCTTCATTGCCTAGGTGATGGAGCATGTGTGTAAAGACTGAACTAAACCTCCACATTGAACTAAACCTTGGGCAACTGAAATTTCATAGGCAAATGCAAGGTTTATTTCAGAACTTGATAGACACAGAATGCAAGTATTTCTTATTAGCTTTTCAAAGTCTGATATTGCTATTGCACTCAACCCACATTAATACTCCTCCTCAAATATCCTCATCTTATTCATGGCCATTGTTTGCCTAACAAAAGGATATACTGTAGTTCTGGAAAGTTCATTTTTTTTTTTAGTTCAGATCCCAGAATTTCCCTTGGAGCAATGTTTTTGTACAGAAATTTTCCTCTCTCTCTCTCTCTCTTTTGCAAGATGCTAGGAAAGATGTAAAGTATTCCATAAAAGAGTCCAAGATGGATGGGAGTTTCCAAAAAGGGAAATTCTAAAGGCACAACAACAAAATTCCAACAAGAAAAAAAAGGTGGAAGAGAGCACTATATGATCTGGTAATCTCCCTGGCACACAGTGGGAAAACTATAGAAATAATACATCTTAAGCAAAAGTTCTGACAAAGTGCCCCATCATATTCTGATTAGCACTTGGTTTTTGTTGGAAAAGAGTTAACTGCTAAGTAGGTGCACAGTTTCTTACAGAATCACAGAGAGTGATTATCATTGGCTCCTACTCAAAGTGGGAGAAGGTACCAGCACAAGGCCCAGTGTTCTTCAACATTTTAATTAATGACTTGGATGAGGGAGTTCAGAGAATGCTTATCAACCGTATGGGTGACACTAAATTGGGTTAAATAGCTAATACCCTGGAAGAAATGAACAACATTCAGAAGGATCTTGATGGACTTGAGCACTGTTCTGTAAGCAACAGAATGAAATTTAACAGAGATAAGGGCAAAGTTCTACACCAATTGGAAAAAAAAAACAAGCAAACAGAAGATGGGGGATGCTTGGATCAGTGATATTATATGCAAGAAGGATTTGCTAGACCAATTCCTGGAAACTTATGATAGTCTTCTGAAATACAACTATTTTTTGTAAAGCACATGGGCCTCTCTTTTGACATCTCAAGGTTAGCCCTGTTTTGTTTTGTTTTTAAGGGACCTCATCAATTCAGATTTATCAGATGCCCTGCATGAAGAACATGAGACATAAGACTCGGTAATGAGCAGCCCAAAGCCCTCCCTGGTTTTGATGCCATGGCATTATTTTTGAGTCGTAACTCCAGCACGCTTTTTAAACCTGATGATTTTCAATAGCTAAGGTCAGTGTGTTCTCCACCACTTCAGACTGACTTCAATGAATATGTAACAGAATTTTAAGCAGTCAACACAATTAAAACCCATCACTTTGTTAGGCGAAACTTCAATAAGGGAAGCAGCAGCCTGGCTTGTCTTTGAAGCAAGGGCATCCTGCAAGAATGACTGGCTCCCTCACAGAAGCCTCCTTGTTTGCCCCCCCACACACACACACACTACCTTGAGTATAGGAGGCAGCCGCTGTTTGTGATGGTGGGTTGGGTGGAATGGGGCTAAAATTATAGGGTGGAGCACCCCCATCCACATCCATGAGTCACCCCAGATCTGAAGTAAACAAGATTTCCTAGAGCAAAGCTGTCATCATTTTAAGCATCTATTTAATGTTTTGCAGGAGTGCACGCCTCCCTGACCTTGAAAGAAATTTTGCCACAATTAATGGCAACTGTTCTCAGATTATTTGAACAAGGCGATACTGTTAAGCTGAATGGATAGTTGAGTCGGCTTCCCCAAGACCTGTTGCACTAAAGTCATCATTCACTGTCCAACAGGGCATGGGTCGAAACAGTTTCTCTTTTAAGCGTCCCTATGCCACCTCTTCTCTTCTCACCTCCCCAAATGTTACGCTCAGCATCACATCAATACCAGACTATTCCTTATTTTCAGGCTGCAGACGGGGAATCTGTGACCCTCGATGTCGCTGAGCTTCAGTCTCCATCACTCCTCACCGACAGCCAAGCTGGAAAAGGTTAGAGTTTAACAAAAGCAAAACAACATCTGAAAGCCTACCTGTTCCTTGGCCTTGCACTAGAAATTCCTGTATTATTTGTAACTGTGGAGTGGAGACTGAGCCTTCATTCACCTGTCATTCAACTATACCCCATTTGGGGAATGTGTGCCGAGTAGTTCCATTTGGTGGAAACAACATGCTCATTCTTTCTAACACACACAGCAGGGCCATTGTTCTTCGCAAAGCTGGTGGTCAGGTCACACTGTTGAAATGTACCTTCCTCAGAAATCTAGATTCCAGTTCCATTGTTCCTATGCAATATAGACACAGAGGCTCTCTTAACTTGTAGGGCATTTTCCACTTGTTTTCCTACCTTTACCATGTGTTTCCAGGGAGAGAGCCCAACTGAGACCAGCCAGAGTGTGTTAAATACCCTGCTGCCTGTGCAGTGTGGGACATGTTGCTTGGTTCCAGAGCACCACCAGGAGAGGGATGGCTAAACCATTTCCAAGCACTTTATACCTAGAAAACCCTGAGTGGGTGGATCTAAGACAGAACCAACCTGAAGGCATATAAATACAAATATTTTCAAAACTATCCTGGGGTCATTTAAGATGGCATCTTTCTATCTTAATCTAAATCCATGTTCCTGTTCAGCACCGCAGCAGACCTTTGTTTATCTTTTCTTGTAAATATCCACCGACATTTTCCCCG